AGAGAGAGAGAGAGAGAGAGAGAAAGAGAGAGATATTTACAAAAAGCAAACCGTCTACCCTTTTGTCCTCGCTAGAAATAAAGTGCTCATTCGTTGGTGTAAAAACGTACACATCACACAAAGGACATGGAACTAGGTTTTTACACTGAGCTCTGTACAACTAGCAAGGGTTCACACAAAATTGCTCAAATTCTTCAAAACATGAACAATATGTCGTATATCCACCTTGCTGTCTTCAACATAATCTATTTAAATGACTCATATATATATATACCGAGTTGTAAAAAGAATTCTGTCACACCCGTTATGTTACGATAATTTTCGGTACAGCGTAAAAATTGTAGCAAAAATGAAGAGAGCGATTTGTGTGACTTATGAGACTCCTAATTGTGCAACAGCAGACGAAAGAAATCATAAACCTGAAGTAGTACGTGGGCAAAGTGTTGGTATTGATTTCTCTCTGTCTGCATTGAAATCAACGCTTCCTACTAAAAAACATTTGCTTTGAATCACGTAGAATATGTGTAAACACACCTTCCACACTATGCAATTTTTACGGGGTTTTTGTTCACCTGTTTTCAAAATAATAATACAGGTAAAAGCAGAAAATAAATTCTTTGATTGAGCTTTCTGCTGTTGCAAGACGCGCATATGTGTGCTGAAGGGCCACTTAACTCTTGAACAAACGTTTTAACACCACTAGAACTGTCTAAACAAGCCTAGGCGTGGCCTACCAAGGGCGACAACTCGACGTCAGAATTGGGTTATTGTCAACACTCATGTTCGAAACCCTTTTCAACTAAACTAAGTGCTGAGACTGCCTGCTACTTCGGACTGTTTTAATACACCATTATTAGACATTTATATGATCGTGGATTACATGATTATTGCCCTTTATGTGGGTCCATTCTAACTCTGTTTCATCGAAGAAATCACCAAATTCGGGCACTGCAGCATAGGCAACAAAACTAAAGACGTTGGTAAAGTGATCTATTCAGCAATGGTTAAGGTTTTTAATTCGTCGCATTGAAGGAAGAGAAAAAGTATAATTTAAAAGAAGAGGACAGGGATTTCACAAATTCAACGTCCACCGAGTGGCCCGAATCAGTTTATAAAATGTGATAGTATGGGCTGGAGTCTCTGCCATTTATCGTATACATTTGGTTACTCTTCAAAGCAACCCCAAAGTACAACGGTATTGTGACCAAGTTCTTCGTCCCCGTGTCCTTCCCGACATGGCACAGAGGATGGAATCTGCGAACAAGACAATGCCGACCTCAAATGGCCACGATCAGTGAAAACTCTTTCCAAACTCATCAAATGATTGTTCTGGTCTGGCCTGTAAGATCAACAAGCCTTAACCCAACAGAACATCTGTAAGATGACTTTGACTGGAGGATTAGAAACAGGCCGCACTCCGTATAAACTCATCAGAAACTGAAGGTTGCACTTCACAAGAAATGGCAGGGGATTCCTCAGACAACCATAAGGACATTAATTCAGTCAATGAACAAACGTTTTGTATCAGTATGCCAGAAGAGGCCACACGCGATACTGAGCAAGCTTTAATTTGGATTTTGCAAGAATCAGCGTGAATACGATTATCTCCCTTGAATAAAGAAAGACATTTTTCAATTCTGTTCATGTCATGTTTGCAGAAAATGAATTAAGTTCTCGTGTGCCAAATTTCTTTAGGCTATGTTGAAAAGTAAATGAGTTATTGTACTTTTAAGTGGGCGTGACAGCACTTTTACAACACGGCGTATACACACACACACATACACACACACACACATACATACACATACACGCACACACACACACACACATATACACACACACACTCACACTCAAGCAGTTATTCACAATTCGCTTACAATCTAACAACGAGTGTTAGGTTGCCAGAAGATCCATGTCATTACATCTCAATGTGCCTGAGGCATTCCCTTAATAATAATTTATTTAACGAACTCTATAGACGCGTCAGATAGATCGAAGCCTCCTGATCGATGTGAATGTGCGACTTCTTTAACGTACACGGATTATTTTCACTGTCTCCTAGAGACAGAAACTGCGGTCGAATAGTCCTCTATATTTTCAGGACCAATCAATAAATACACCGTTGAAGCGAAACGCTTGTAGCGTCCTCTCTTTGACCTTCAAATGTCCTTGAGAGAAAAATGAACTAGAATGGGCCCCTATCCAGCCTTCAACAGCTTCAATGGCGCACTCGTTGTCATGGAATTTACGTCCTTTGAGTGATTATTTAAGATTTAAAAACAGAAAAAGTCTTGGGGGGGGGGGGGGGCTTGGTCTGGTAAATAAGCAGGGTGTGGCAGGATTTCAAAGCTGCACTGTTCTGCAGTCTGGACTGTTTGTTGTGCCCTGTGCGCAGGGTCGTCGTCATGCAGTAGGAGGATCCCGTAACGGAGTTTTCCACGCCTTTTTCTCACCAGCTCAGACCGCAGTTTTGTCAGCAAATCTGAGTAGTAGTCTCCTGTGACTGTTTTTCCATTTTCCAGGTAGTCAGTCATGATGATACCTTCACAATTCCAGAAACATGATAGCATGACCTTTCCACTTGAGGGGGTTACCTTTGCCTTCATGGGCGAGGGAGAAGAAGGAGTTTTCCATATCAAGGAGGGCATTTTGTATTATGGATCAAAATGATAAATCCATTTTTCATCCATAGTCACCATATCTTTAAAGAAACCTGTGTCATTGGACTCAATTCGAATAAGAGTTTTGCAGGACTCAACCCTCTGCTTCTTTTGCGCACTTGTCAAAGATCGAGGTACCCACCCCGCAGACACCTTATTTATGTTTAGATGATGGAGGAGAATCGTTTCAATTGACCCTACACTGATTCTCATTTCACTTGAGAGCTGTTTAACTGTTATAAGTTGGTCTTGTAGAACCAGTTTCTTCACGATGGATACATTCTCTTCAATTACCACAAAGGATGAGTGCCCTTCACGATCTTCATCCATCAACAACATTAATCCAGATTTGAAATTTCTTTCCCTGTATGTCATAGTTTTATAACGAGGATACTAACTGTAACCATAAACGTGAACCATTTCTTGTAAAATGTCCAAAGGGGATTTTCCTTGCAAGTGTAAAAAACTTGATAACTGAGCGATTTCCAACAGGCTCCTTGGCTCAGCTTCAGAAAAGGCAAACGAACGTTTTTGTGCACGGTTTCATTGAACGGGATGACTAGTAATCCTAATTATTGTAAGACGTTACCGAAAATTTGCACATTGTGTTCCAAAGATATGGTATAAAGGCTGGCAAAATTTCATTACTCTACCATGATTCCTTCATGACCAGAGACTTATTGGACCCCCCTCGACTTTTGGTTTTTCATTATTTGTTAGGGTAATGCGTCGAGGTAAGTTGCAGTATTCTATGGTTGAGCAACTCTGCAGGTTTTTATAAATTGGGAGGTAAGCGTTTTTCAGGGTTCACATGCCTCTCTTAACCCATCTTTCGCGTGGCCTACCTCGTCCATTGTATTCTGAATACATGGTGTTATAGGCCCAGGCTCTCCAGGGTTAGGTGTTACATTGTAACGTGTGACCACCAGATTCGCAACCTTAAGGTCGTGGGTTCGAATCTCATCAAGGACTCGATGTTAGGTCCTTAGGCAAGACATTTTACACAAATTATCCTCACTTCGCCCGGATGAGAATTGGTACCTAGCTATACACAGCAAAAGATCTTGTCAGTTTGTTGGTGTTTGAGCGTTTGCACAGTATGCTTCTTGGGATGCCGAGGATGTCTCTGAATGTTCTACGGTCTGCTTTGATAATAGTTGTAAAGCGCACAGAGGGCGCTGTTATTACTTATTTAATATTTATATCATTCTTACTTCGTCGTTTCTCTTCTGTTTCTTCTTGTGCTGTTTAGGGCTTTGCAGAGGTATTTAATCTCACATGTGTGGAATTTGTTTTCTTTGGTTTTACTTAATGTCCAGGTCTGGCA